AGGACCCAAGGCGCGGAGGGCCAGGAGGAAAAGGAGAGCGGGCGTGCACTCTCCTGCCTTAGGAAGTTCTCTCCTCTGCGTCCTGTTGGCCGCCGCGTCCCGGGCTGAATGAGGGTCAAGGAGAAATCAGGGGGCGGGGCAGAGTGACTGGAGGCCGCTCCCGGTCACCCGCCCCTCCATCTCGCTCCATTGATCTGGGAACCTTAATCTTCAGCCCCTCCTCTTGTACTAGAAGGGGTGCGTGGTCTAAGTCTCTGCTCACGCTGAGCGTCTAGGGTTCGGTTGGAGAGAGGAGGCGTGCAGTCCGTCTGTACTAAGTACCCAAAGGTGGTAAGCTCGGCTCCAAGAAATTACAGTCCACAGCACCAGAGACTTGGAAACCCCGGAGCAGACGCGACGTCTCAAGACCTGTAGCCTTGGACCGCACATGGCACAGCTCAGCTCAGTTGCGGGGCCATAGTGCGGCTCCCCACCCCGGCCCTTTTCTAAGCTCTAAGGTGGAGCCGGCAGGTGCCGCAGGCCTCCTCTGCACCTCGGCCTCAGCTGCGCTCCCGGGCCATGGGGGGAGGGAGACACGACAGTGGGGCATCGAGACTCCAGCGGCCCAGGCGCACTCATACAAGCACCCTGGAATTTCGGTGGAAAGGAAGGGGCTACCGGGCCTGGGAGGAGAACTGCAGAGCTCAGCTGCTGAGCCGACCCTGGGAAGGGGGAGGGGCGGGGGCTCCCTTCCAGCCTCAGGGGTCTGGGGATTTAGGGATGTAAGGAGAGCAGGGGGGTGTGACAATTCAGCAGAGGTCGGGACGTACCACGGAACCCAGTGGCGGGGGGGGGCAGAGGACGTGGTCACCGAGGGGAGCCCCCGCCCCCCTTCGCAGAGGCCTATGGCTGGGGTTGCAGGAAGAACTGGAACTGGGCTGGCAGTAGGGGGAAGCGGCGCGTTAAATCCGCCCCCTCTACATACCCTACTTTCAAGGGGTGGGCGGTAAAGGAGAGGTTGGGGTTGGAGCAGCGGCGAGGGGGCCCCTCCCTTGCACCTCCCTCCACCGGACTTGGTCGCGCCCGAAGTGTAACACTTTCTCTTTGTCGGAGGAGCTCCTCTGTTTCCTGTGCGGTAGCTCCGGTTGCGGCGGCACCCGTGGCAGCCCTGGCGGACGCAGGAGCGATGGCAGCGACCGATATAGCTCGCCAGGTGGTGAGTGCAGGGCTTGGGTGCCAGGGCCAGGACCGAGGGCCTGGGGAGGGTCGAGGAGACCTGGCCGCCGCCGCCACATCGCGAGGAGGGCAATGGGCAGCATCCAGGAGCCGAGGGCACGGTGGGACTTCTGCTCCCGGGGTCAGCAGCTCAGTCCCCCAGCCTGTCCCGGAAAACGGTGGTGGCGCTCGGGCGGGCGGCAGGGGGGCTGGCAAAGCCTGCGGGCCGGCGGCTGAACTTGCATTGCCCAAGAGCCGCAGTGAGCGCCGCCGCCTCCCTCGCTGCAGCTGCGGCCCCACGGCTGGGGCGTTGCCGAATGAATGGCCATCGGAGCCTCCGAGCCCTCCGGGTCCTTGGCACCCTGGCCTTGCCGCGCCCCTGCGCACGGCTGCCCACTGGGACCTGGGACAGCACAGGCAAAGAGGCGCAGGGCTGGGGTTAGCCTGGGGCAGAAGGCGGTGAGTGGCGAGGGGGGCGGGGAGGTGACTGGCTGGGATAGGGTTTCTCTATATGCATTACATATGTGACTGCGTCTGTGTGTGTATCCGTGTGCGCGAATGTGTGCACGCGTGCGCGCTCCTGCCTTCCCTGGCGGGCGGCGGCGGCGCTGGGGTTCTGTCTGTGACCCAAAGAAGTCCGCCTGTTTCCCTGAGTGTGCTCACCTCTGTGGTGTGTGTCCGAACACCTCGCTGTCTGCTTGGGCCGTGTGCCTCTGGGTCCCATTTGTGCGTCAGTGTGGGGTGCAGTTGGCTGGCCTGTAGGTGGCTGGCTGCGTATTTTGGCATGTTTTTGAGCGGGCCTCTGAGGATCTGTCTCGGGTGCATGTTCAGTGTAACTGGGCTTGCGTGCCAAAACCTGTGGAGCTGGCTTCTTTCTATGGAGACTCAGGAAAATAAGTGTGAGACTCGCAAAAGCGGTGCCGCCTCTCTTTTTGTTGGCGACCGACTTTGGGGGAAAAAAAATCTTCATTTAAAGAACTGAAGTTTTCCAGCCTGGGATGTGCAGAGAAACCATGTTGAAGTGACCTGAGGCTCCATGTTTGTTTTTTAGACCAGAAGTTTGGTTGCAAAGGGCGATGAATTCCATTTGGGGGGGACACCCTAGCTTTATTAATCCATGGATATCTGGGGTTTTAAGAAGCCCACCAGCACCTCCAGGTGAGGAAGGAGTGGGAGATAGCGGTAGGTCAAATCCCGCGACACCAAATACTACTTGACGAAAATCTCTGAACCACATAAAAATGCTTTTCAACCTTGTAGCTTACTTATTTAGGAAAATAGTTCATGCAATGCAATTACAGTACAAAAAAGCCTCTAGGTAACTGGTGTAATTGAAATTGATTTTTCAAAATCTGAAGCCAGACTCTGATAGTATTTTCTCTACAGAATATGTATTAATGTATTCCACTCTTTTGTCCCTGTTTGAAGGGGCAGGATCATTTCTTCGGAATCTCCTCCACCCTCTGCACCCCCTAGCACAGAGCACTTTATGCAGTCATGATGTGGAAGGACCAGGAGTAGACAGGAGACATTCTCTGTGATGATGGAATTTGAGAGAATTTTCTTCCCCCAAGATTGGCACTCTCGTGTTTATTGCTTTAGTGTTTTGAGGACCCTCTCTTTTCTGCTGTGGCTTTTCTGCTCCTGGTTACCTGCATTTCAGAGATGGTATAGTTGAAGTAGAGGAATTAGTCTCCAGGATTATATTTGCTCCATCCAAAAATGATGCTAATAATTTTTCGCGTCAGCTAATGAATTTGCATCGACCTGTCTTCCATACTCTCTCACCATTTCTCTTGCCTGGATTAGGATTGCAGGACAGATATTGCAAAGGGGAACCTTCCAGGAGATTGTGTGTGTTTCACCTCAGGCACAACTCAGCCAACCCAGAGGTCCCCTTTGTTCTGCAGATGGGGGTGAGGGGGTGGTTTAGGGCCACTTGGTTTGCTTCGCATGGCTCCAGTTTACTCTGGCTGGCTTTGCCATACTGTGTGATGAAGAACATAATTGTACGCCAGATTCTGAAGCTGAAAGAGCAGCCTAAAGCACTCGAGTCCTTGTTATCGTGATAAATGGGTTTCTGGGAAAACTGACGTCACTCTCCATGTCCCCCTCCCCCAGCCAGTGAAGCTCTTGTTTATGTGTCATTTATCTCTCTGTTCTCCTTTGTGTCTGCAAGAAGTTGTAATTCACCAGGGAAGATGGAATTAACTCAGGAGAACTTGGACATCTGGTTGCTGCTTGTTTCCTCCAAGGAACATGTATTCAGGGTTTGGGAACAAAAGACTAGAGAATAAACCTAAGTGTGGCTAGCTTAGGAATTCTTTTTTTTGAGTCAGAGTCTTGCTCTGTTGCCCAGGCTGGAATGCAGTGGCGCAATCTTGGCTCACTGCAACCTCTGCCTCCTGGGTTCAAGCGATTCTCCTGTCTCAACCTCCCGAGTAGCTGGGATTACAGGTGCGTGCCACCACACCCAGCTAATTTTCGTATTTTTAGTAGGGACGGGGTTTCACCTTGTTGGCCAGGCTGATCTCAAACTCCTGACCTCATGATCCACCTGCCTCGGGCTCCCAAAGTGCTGGGATCACAGGCGTGAGCCACCACACGTGGTCAGGAATTCTTTTTAATGAGCTCTGAGACGTGGTACCATGTGAGTAAGTACCCTAGTGTGTGTATGAGGGTGGGGTGTGTATGAGGGGTGTTCTTTCTAGAATCAGTTGAGAGTCACTGTGGGTAAGCATTCTTAGTGACTAAAACAAGCCTTCAACTTGTTGGGCAGGGCTTATATTGCATTCAGGCAACTTGGAAGTTCAATTCTGGTGCACATAATACAAGTCCATCCCATTTCAATGAACACCACAAAGGGTTTGGTGTGACAACACCAGTTGTCCACTGTGTCTGTATTTATCTGATTGACTGATATGTGGCCAGCACTATAGTTAGCCCTATGTCAACTGGACAAAAGAAGGTAGTAAGCTTTAAAAAACGTTCGTGGCTTTTAAGCTTATAGTCTAGTTGGAGTGAAAAATGGTGGACACTGTGAAATAATTAAAGAACTATAGAAGGGCCAGGTGTGGTGGCTCACGCCTGTAATCTCACCACTTTCGGAGGCTGAGGCGGGTGGATCACCTGAGGTCAAGAGTTCGAGACCAACCTGCCCAACGTGCTGAAACCCTGTCTCTACCAAAAATACAAAAGCCAGCCAGGCATGCTCGGGAAGCTGAGGCACAAGAATCGCTGGAACCTGGGAGGCAGTGGTTGCAGTGAGCTGAGATCGTGCCATTGTACTGCAGCCTGGGCGACACAAGGAAACTCTGTCTCAAGAAAAAAAAGAAAGAACTATAGAAGATCCCTGGGATGCTCCACCTCACCCCCTGCCTGTGAGGTGGCGTGGGCTGCTATTAACTTATACTTCAAGAGGTTCCATGACTTGTCCAAGGTAACCAAGGCACAGGGCAGGCCCCAAAAGCTGCATCTCCTGGCTCTTGTAATGAAGCCATTCCCTTCAACGTTGCATTCTGGGATCCAGCCCGTAAAGGCTGGCCCATACAAAGAACGTCTGGATGATTCTGACTTGAGCTATTCCCACAATGTGAACAAGGAGCTTTCTTCAGTGGCAATCTGGGTAGTGGTCCTTCTCTCAAATGAACTTGCAGAGGCTAACTTTGCCCTACAAAGCTAGCTGGGGTTGGTCTGGGTCAACTGTCTGAGAGCAACTGTCTCCAGGTGGGGAAAAGATTGATGCTGCACGCTCGTTTTGCTATTATCACGTTGCAGTTTGATTTCCTTTGAGGTCTCTGCCTCAGGCGTTCCTACCACCACCTGCTAAAGATAGTTTGTACCTCAAACACAGAAAACAAAACCCAATCACCTAACTCTACTGGTGATACAACACAGAAGAAAGTTTAAATGGCCCCAAATATTTAAAAAATGTTGATTCTAAATTTGAGAGCTTTCATTACATTATTTTCTAAGTTTTCTGTGTGTTTGGGATTTTTCTTTGTTTCTTTTTTTTCTCCAAGACGGAAACTTGCTCTGTCACCAGGCTGGAATCCAAATGGTGCAATTTCGGCTCACTGCAACCTCCGCCTCCTGGGTTCAAGCAGTTCTCCTGCCTCAGCCTCCAGAGTAGCTGGGATTACAGGTGCACACCACCGTGTCTGGCTGATTTTTGTATTTTTAGTAGAGACAGCGTTTCACCATGTTAGCCAGGCTGATCTCGAACTCCTGACCTCGTGATCTGACTGCGTCGACCTCCCAAAGTGCTGGCATTAACATGCCACCCATGCCTGTCCTGGGATTTTTCAAAATAAAAAGTGGGCAGAATGACAATGCCCTTCAAATGGACATGGCCCCTTCTTTCAAGGAGTTTACGATCCAGTGGTGGAGGCAGACACAAATCAGTATCTAATTATCATTGTGATAAGTGCCACACGGGAGACTGACTGCCTGCCATGAGATTTCTTTACTAAGGGAACCCAATTCAGCAGTGAATGGAGGCAGAGGATGACAGGAAGGGCTTCCTGAGGGCTTCAAATAGGAAATGGGTAGGTGTGAAGGTGTGTGAGATCTCGCATCTGCTACTGGGTTGGGAACATCTTCATTTACCAATTCACCTACTTTTATTTTCATTCGTTCCTTCAGTACATACTCACTGGGCATTGATCGGCCAGGCCCTGTGCCAGGTGCTGGGGATTTAGTGGTGGCCAAGGCATGCAGGAACTCTGCCCTCTCAGAGCTTCCAGATTAAGCCATTTCCTCTTCACATCCGAAATCCTGGAAATGTGAGTGTTAGCGGTGTTCTTAATACAAAACTACGTTACAGCAGAATGATTTGTCTGTATCGTCTAATAAGATTTTGATCTGCAGTCATGTGCATAGCATTTACTTTGTGGAGTCTCTGCTGTAAATTTTCTATTAATTGCTGGCTTTATTTCCAAGCATGGCCCCTGCCTTTGTGTGCTATAAGGGAGCAAACCCATTGCATTAACCTGAGCAAAACTAATTAGGGAGATAAGTCCCCTGGAAAAAGGTATTCCCAAACCAAGTAGGACTGGTTTCTGGACTTGCCTGGGTTTTCGGATGATCAGAGCCGTGGTTTAATATTAGCATGAACAATTGAGAAGGGCTTTTAGTTGCATGTACATTAAAACTACATTCAAGACAGATGAAAGAAAGAAGGAAAAAGAAGGAAAGAAGGAAAGCCATGGATAGATGTAACATGTTTCTTTCATCTATCTCAAAATGCTTCCATCTGTATGATTTCATTTTCCCCAACAGTTCCTGGATAAGTATTACTGTTCTCTTTATTTTAGATTTTTAAATTTCTATTTGTTTATTTTATTTATTTTTTTAAAGATGGGGTTTCACCATGATGGCCAGGCTGGTCTTGAACTCCTGACCTCAGGTGATCCACCCACCTTGGCCTCCCAAAGTGCTGGGATTACAGGCATGAGCCA